GATGGCTTGCCAGGCTACAGTCCCACTCACCATTCTCCTTCTTCAGACTCGCTGCAGAAAGTCAGAGAGGAAGGGGGAAACACCTTACTTAGCACCCCAGCATTGACAAAGGCTCTGGGAACAGGATGGGAAGCCCTTCATTGCAAATGCCTGAGGGTGAGCAGAAATACTCACCATACTTGGCACAGAGCTCCTCTGCCCAGTTCAAGAAGTCACCAAAAAACGAAGAATCCAAGTCAGGTCCAGACCCGCAAAGGTCCCAGGGTGCTGCCCGTTGGAGTTGCCCACCCCAGCCATGCACAACAAATGCCTCTGGCAGGGAATTGGCTCAAGTCCATTCACACTCCTCCTCATAAAGCTCTCATTCTGAATGATCACAAGTCACCTGCTCCAACCAACACTTCCCCCTGGCACACAGGACTCATCTGGGCCCAGGCTCTCCATCCTGCCACCCCATCTCTGCTTTCTCTGAGCAGTCCTTTTTACACCCTCATCTCCTCCAAAGTCTCCACCAAACTCATTACAACCTCCAACAGAACTGCACATCCCAACAGCCTGCTGAGCAGTTGCAGGGGTAGCCAGCAGAGACACAGCTCCACTCACCAATCTTCTTCTTCAGGGTCTCTGCAAGAAGAAAGGAGGAATGAAAGAATACCTTGCTTAGCACCCCATCCTCCATAAAGACTTGGAAAGAAGTGTGGGAAGCCTTCAACAAGGCACACCGACACTACACCAACAATACATTATGCTGTAATTCCTCATGCACAGAGGCATTGTCGCACCGTCCTTCCTGTACATACCTTTCTCTGCATCTTCCTCTGCTCTTCTTTGTGCCAGCAAATGCTCTGAAAAAGAGGATCACTCTTATCTGCTCCAAAGTCTCCACCAAACTCATTACAACCTCCAACAGAACCACACATCCCAACAGCCTGCTGAGCAGTTGCATGGGTAGCCAGCAGACAGACAGCTCCACTCACCAATCTTCTTCTTCAGGATCTCTGCAAGAAGAAAGGAGGAATGAAAGAATACCTTGCTTAGCACCCCATCCTCCATAAAGACTTGGGAAGAAGTGTGGGAAGCCTTCAACAAGGCACACCAACACTACACCAACAATACATTATGCTGTAATTCCTCATGCACAGAGGCATTCTCGCACTGTCCTTCCTGTACATACCTTTCTCTGCATCTTCCTCTGCTTTTCTTTGTGCCAGCAGTTGCTCTGAAAAAGAGGATCACTCTTATCTGCTCCAAAGTCTCCGCCAAACTCATTACAACCTCCAACAGAACCGCACATCCCAACAGTCTGCCAAGCAGTTGGGTTGGCAGGAGTGAGACAGCTCTACTCACCAATCTTCTTCAGGGTCTCTGCAAGAAGGAAAGAGGAAAGGATGGAAATGTTGCTCAGCACTACATCGTCCAGAAAGACTTGGGAAGAAGTATGGGAATCCCTCAACAAAGCACACTCACAATGAAGGTGTAGACCTACAGTATTCATGAGAACACTCATGCACAGTGCCACTGGGGCACTACCCTACATGCACTCACCTTTCTGTGCATCCTCCCCTGCTCTTCTTTGTGCATGGAGCTCCTCTAAAAAGGGGACACAGATATTGATGAGAGTAATCAGGACACCTTTCTTAGCAACCCATTCCCTAGAACTTTAGGGAAAAGGATGGGATGCCTTCAGCATGGCACACTCATCCTCCACCAACCCCTTACTTAGTCAGGGTTTTCCCATGCATGGTGGCTTTGAGGTAACACCTACATCACATCTCAATTGCCCTTTCTTTCAGGCTCAGACCAAGACTTAAACCTCACAGTCCCCTGTTTGCTCTGTCATGGCATATACTGTACCTTGGGCTGTTTGCTCTCAATGTCCAGTGCTTAAAATCTTGACACAGGAAAAATGCGACTGAGAAAGAAGTCCAGTCAATATTTGAGTCCTAATATCATAAGCACATCCTCCCATCTATACCAAATGCACAATAGGGCACAGAAGAGATCTGAGGCCATGGAGAGAACAAACCTTTGCACATTCCTCATTCTAATATGGAACTCACTCCATGGCCATTCTTCGTTATTATACCATCAACACACACACTGATTTTTCTCTCGCTGTGTGCTAAAATGAAAATACATGAAAAACAGCACCTCAGTGGTTCCTTACTTCTCAGGGAATGGTAGTCCATTTCCCTGGAGTTTTTTCCATAGTTGTTCCACCTCACCTGTTAGATCTGCATTTATTAGTGTGTATTCTGGCCAGTTTGTGAACTGTGGTCTCCTGCCACAAATTTCTACAGACCCTGACAAATGTGTACTATAGCAGGAGAACAGCCTTGCCTCAGAGATGAGGACAGCCATTCTGAGCTCTCACTTCAGTCCACCAAATGAACATATGTCCTACATACTCATTGTAAACCAATCCACTCACTCTATTGCATTCTTCCTTCTTTGGTCTGTGATATCTGACACTCATAAGGACTTTTCCTAACAAAGGACTGGACATTTTCTAGAGGAAGGGAAAGTCTGTGTGCAGCTGTATACCTGCCTTCCTTATAACACTTTGCATCTTCCTCCCTCAGTGAGGTCTTTTGGGACAGTGGTTAGAAGGGAAGTAGCAAAAGCTTTTCCCAGCACCATGGTTGCAATATTATTTTAGATCTCTTCTCAGGAAGGTCCATCTTAAAATCATACTCCTTAAAACTTCGATTTGTATCAACCCTGCAATTTGCCAGAAACTGAGATATATATCCCAACTAAATGCTATCAAGTCATCTCACACCTGAATGTGAAATACACATCTGTACTTAAAAGAAAAAAAAAAAAAAAAAAAAAAAAAAATCAAGAAAACTCAGTTGTGTCAATGAATGGATGCCAGAGGATCATTTGGAAAATCTGTAGTACAAATGCTAAAAATGGAACTACACTGTTACCGTCATGACAGACCTAAAAACATGGAATGTTATGGCCCCAAAGAAGTCAGATTTGCATTCTTTTTTTTTCTTTTTTTTTTTTTTTCACATTTATACAAAATGATGCAGATCTTGCTTCATTTAAAATGCCCCCAGAGGCTTTCTTAGTGTTCTTCAGCATCATTGGCATTCTCAACAAGCAGAAACCATATTCTCTCTTCTGCTGCACACAGGAGACAATTTTTTATTTTCTCCAGGTAATAGTAAGCTTATCAAACTATATAATTCCAATTTCAATTAAAATATTTGCACATGAAAATTGGTTTTGGTGAACTCTGCACATTGGGAAGGAAAAATGGGAGTGTGAAAAGATACCCAATTCATAACATCTGAACAGACAGATGCCCAGTTAATAAGGAATGTTTCTGTAGTTCGTTACTAAGCCAGAAAAGAATAAATAAAAAGGAAATAAAATAAATAAAAGGAAAGATGAGACAATGAAAAAGGTATTTCATTTGAGAAAACCAACTTCAGAATGTCTTGGTGCTAGAAACACAGAGGACTGGAGAGGCAAAGGACAACATTGTTCTGTGAAGGTGAGGGAAGATGTTGATTTTGGAAGATGGAAAGCTATGGGGTGCATCTGGAAGGTGGAAGCCACTCCTGAGTGAATTCATTAACAAAAAGATTCTCTTGAAGGAATCCAGAGCTGTGAGTTTCTTGGAAAGAATGAGTTATCTCCAACATAGGATGTCTGTGCCACTTGGGAGGACAACAGAAGGCTGGAAATTCTGGGTGAGAAGGCTATCAAAATTTCTCTGCTACGAACTGTAAACTGGGGGCTCTGGCATGGTGGAATAGCTTACCTATTGCAGTAATGAAGCAAAAGAGATAAAGAATCCAGAGCCAGTCATGGTTTCCTAAGAAAGGGAGAAAAAGCAATTTTTTTTTTTTAAATGACAATTTATTGCAATATAATACAGGTGTAGAGTGGCAGTGGAAGTCATCTAATCTGTGCCATTTGGACATGGTTAACAGAAGAACATTTTTTAAAATAATTACTCATCTGGGAGAGTGATGAGGACCACAAAATATTTTAAAGAAAGCTTAGACATAGTACTGAAGTTTTTGTATTATACCACTTCTTAAACACCCTGGAGATAAACGAGGAAGGAAGTATCTGGGAGTTTTTAAATGAATGTTGATTTTGAAATCATGTCTCCACTGTTATTCAAGAGCCTGCCTGTTTAGCAGACTATTTCTGAATCGAGTAATATTGCTGTAAGTGATACCATAAAATTGGTCTATCTTAAGTTGAATTTCAAAGGTATGACTGAGTAGAATTTACAGAAGATGGCCTGAGCGGTCCTTTCCAATATTAATGATTTCATGCTTCCATGATTCTGAAGGAGCTCAGCCCTATCCTTGCTGCTCAATATCATCTTTCAGTCAGAATAATTCTTAATAACGAGCTTAATACAAAAGATCTGTCAGCATTAAGAAGTAGATATTCACAGTGGGAAACAGGATAGATGCACTCAGCTGAGGAACCCGCTGTCTTCCTGGCTTTCCTGGCATCCCTTGGTGCTCTTCCCTTTGCAAACAGAAGTTGGATGGCACGATATCGTATCTATAGAGCTACTGATTTTCTCAGATTATTGAGCAATAGTTGTCTGAATTGAGTCAACTGTTGACTGTTGTTGGAAACAGGGTGAAATAATTCACAGTATTAGGCCCATCCTTCTTATTAGGGTAGGATAATGTGAAAAGAGGGCACTTTTCTCCAACATAAAAGGTTTAAGTACAAGAAATAAAAAATAAAAGAAATAAATCTTAATTGCTGCATACCTGACTGTTGAACAATATGTAAATAGGATTCCCCATTAGTTGTCAAGTCAGAAGGTGCTAGATGTCCACCATGTATCTCATCAGAGCTTTCTATTGCAAAAATATTGTACTTCTCCTCTAGGATGCTTGTCTTGGTCAATGAAGATAGATGTTCTCCTGGGAAAATATCCGAAATAGCCTTGGGATTTACACAGACACCTCTCATTTGGCTCTTGTACATACAAGTACGTACAGTGCTTGGCTTTTGCCTAATTATTTCATTCAAAGAACCTGTAACAAAGGCAACTGATCACTCTTGCATTGGGCATAACACAGAAATAACGAGTACAACATGAAAGAGATTTCACAGAGCACCCACAGCTTTGTTGCTGCTTCATCTGCCATGAAACACATCTGGCTTTGGAGCATTTAATTTTAAAAATTTCAGAAGCAACAGGAAGAATTTTTATTTTTTCACTTGCAAATGTGTAACTTCCTGCCTGAACCAAGACGGATTTTCACAAAAAGCTTTTCAATAAATTCAGCACAGATAATAGAAATTACTGGCTAGACATTAGGAAAGCTGTATTTGTCACTGTTCTCCATGACTGAGGTGGCATTTACAGTAAAAAAAGAAGACTCCCTTGGAATCACACTATCTTTTCCAGTTTCCTGAGTGCAGGAACCCTGCACACACAAAAAAACACACATATTCACACTCTTAAAAACGAGTGAAATCTCTGAAACCCTTAATTTGTGGGTGGCATCCCTGCCCACATCAAAGTTGTTAGGAATACAAGGTCTTCAAGGTCCCTTCCAACCCAAAATGATTCTAGGAACCTACCAGTTTGGTTTATCTTTTCTTTGATGAGCATAATGACACATTTCACATCTACGTCATCACAAGGAACTGCCATGATGCTTTGTACTACAAAAAGTTCTGTCTCACTCCAGGTGACGCTGGTCTTGATCTCCATATGTTTTTTGCCTCCTCCATAGGTTGTCCAAATGACTTGAGGCTTTGGGTACCATCCTTTTGAATTACATGTGTAGCGACACAAGCTCTCCTCTTGCTGATCCTTTACCAAAGCTGGTTTGTTCCCTATTGCTGTAATGGAGTTATTGAAATGAGGGACAGAAAAAGTACTCTGCATAACTCCTAAGTAAGTTATATAAAAGCAAAAAGAAACAAATAAATCTGAAAGTGTCAATACACTGCTCTAAATATTCATGGCACATAGGAACTACCATACATGGCCAGACAAAAGGGTCATTTAGTTAGAATCTTACAAGGAAAAGCACCGTTGTGAGACACCACACATGGTGAACCACAGGGAAATGGAATGGTGAGAAGTCAGGAATACTATATGAAAATTTGAGAAAACAGGGGAGTCTCCATATTACTGAGAGGGGATGTAATACAGACCAATTGAAAAGGAACAGTGGGGAAAGAAAGAATAATAAGGAATTGTTCTCTGTCTTGTCCAGTAAAAAAAATAGCAGGTGGCATGTTCATAAATAAAAGTAAATGAATGAATGAATAAATGGAAGGAAGGGAGGGAGGGAGGGAGGGAGGGAGGGAGGAAGGACGGAAGGACGGAAGGACGGAAGGACGGAAGGACGGAAGGAAGGAAGGAAGGAAGGAAGGAAGGAAGGAAGGAAGGAAGGAAGGAAGGAAGGAAGGAAGGAAGGAAGGAAGGAAGGAAGGAAGGAAGGAATAATAATCCCAGAGCACAAAACCCTATCAGTACTGACACAGGAATACTGAGCATCATAATGCTGTTCCCCATTGCACTGTTTTCCCACACGACAAGCCACAACACCTTGCTCCTTCTGCACCCAGACCTTAGACAGTCAGACCTGAAGCAAGGTTTTCCAGCATGTCTTGCCTTAATTCACTGTGGGGAAGATCTCAACTGCTGAGCAAGGTATAGACAGAGCAAAAGAGTCCTGATAGGAACTGAACTAAGCACGGTCATAGCAATCTCCCTTCTTACCTATAATATCAAGGTGAGTGACAGCCTTCTGGGAGACAGCGTTGCCACTTACAACACAAATGTACACCCCGCTGTCAGCTATTTGCGCTTTTTGGATAGTCAGGAGAAATCTTCTTCTCTCCCAGCGCCCTTTAATCCTGCACTGTTCTTCATGCTGGCACTGTTCCACCTCCCCATCCAGGCTGGAGGAAGAGCAGAGTGGAGCATCTCTTTCCTTTTCCTCTTTGTACCAAAGCACACTTGCGTTGGAGAGGATTCTGGGAGTCAGCTGGCAAGACAGAGTTACTTGCTCACCAACAAGGGCAACTGAAGGATCAGCGGTGATGGTGATAGATTCACCTGCAAGGAAAATGTGGGAGCATTGATTTTCTCTGCAAATATAACCATTCTAAGGATGGAAAAATTAGACAAAAATTCTCAGCGTTAGGTTAATCCGAAACAAAAATGTACTTTCTAGGCTAGAATTCTTCAGTCCCCTTCAATGATAAGGAGAGTATTGAGTCAATTTTAGGAGCTCCTTAAGCCACATACACACATTAGAATTTCCACCTTTCCAGGTTTTACTCATGTCAGTCATGTTAGACAGTCCTGGAGAACAGGGGCATTTGGGACAGGAATTTTTTTCAGGCAGACAATAGGTGAGGTTACTGGGAGGATTATAATTGAAAGCTCAGTGACCAGCGAGCAAATTACCAACACGAGGTGCAAAGATCTGTGCAACAATCATCACACCCTGAAAGCAATCTGTACAGGCTTTTGTTCTTCACTCAGTCTGGCTATGGCACCTGTGAGACACTGACTGTGCCTTTTCCATGTTTCTGATGTGACAACACAACTACTTTTACTCCCTGAAAACCGAGAGCGGGACTGAAGTGTCTCCCATCATTTGAGATGGCCAGTGCTGTCCCAAGCCCCACTTTAGACTGTTTCAGACAGGATCTACATTACATTTCTTCCATCAGAAAATGGGAATATGACATGAAGTGCAGGTGTGATATCTCAGGATAACTGACACTGAACTGTACACTAAGATGTTGTGCCAAAGTAATAAGCAGAACTGTGGTTTGATATTGCAAGTTGCTCTAGGCCATTTCCTGGTGGATGCATCAGCAGTGTGCGTGTTGGCAAGAAAACTGGGGCTGGAACAGTAGCAGTCATTATCTTGATCTTTCCTTGTCCCTGAAAGAGTTATTTGGAGAACTACCTCAGAAACTTCATCACAGCAAGTTTTAATGTGGTTCAAATCAATGGTTTAAACTCTAGCTAACTCCTGACCAGAAAGAATCAGTCATGGGTTTAAAATAAATAATGTAAGGGTGACACAGAAGGTAAACTCCCATTGGAAGCATATGCCTACACCAAAGTCAGATTTTGCTTATTGTCTCTCCACAAGGGGCTTTTCACCATGGACAACAGTCCTCTAGTGATCAGCAGCTAAGGTAATCCTCAGAAGAAATATTTAGCTTGGTGTCACTGTCTTTTATATGCTAATGCAGGAAAATAAAAGGTGCTTTTCTCCTCCTTTTTTTTTTTTTTTTTTTTTTTTTTTAGAGAGAGAGAGAGAGAAACTGAGAGAAACTGAGAGAAACGGGAACTAGAACACAGTTCCTGCCTATTCCATAGCTTCTGCTTTCTTCATTTCACTGATTCTACTGATCTTACATATTGTACTTATTTATATTTTACAACTGAACTGAATAACTGGATAGAATACGTTTTGTCTTACCTGTAAGCCACACTGCAGTAAGAAAACATGTTGGAATACTCAAGAACAGGACTTCCCTCATATTTCTTGGGCGCACACGTGATAAAACTTCCCAAACTGTCATGTTGGGCAAGTTGTTTGTAATCCTCCTGGAAAAGGCTGACCTGATATGAGAAAAAATAAGAATTCCTGAGAGGAACGAAACACAAGCAAACGAATATTCCTAAAACAGGATCACATTCTTTAGCAAGGCATTGAGGTCTTCATTGCTCTTTAGCATGTAGAGTGGGAAATATTCAGTACATCTTTGGATGATAGCCATCCAAAGTGCAAAACGTGTGGTTTGAACAGAGAACTTGAATAAAGAAAATGCCATAAGACTCATTTGGGCCTTTCCCACCTCCTCAAGTTCCACCATTTTCCAATAGACAGTGAAGAAGCAATAAAAAAGAAAGAACAATACGTAGGATGGAACAATCATGTCATTTAATAGAGCTCTCTGTGGATATATTACTTACCAGCTGAATTGCTATTCCCTTACATTATTCTTACCAAAACTCAGACCACACCATGGACCCCACCAAGGGTTTAAGAAGATTAAAATTCTGATGACATATTGTTGTATTTTCCTTCTTGGCCTTGGAATGGTAAAGCATTTAGGCCACCTGAAAGTGATTGTCAAGCATGAACTTCTCAGCCACAGAACTGCTCTACAGAACAACTACATCTCCTGAGGCCAAAGTTTGGCAATTTCAAGCAGGAAATACTTTTTTGCTTCTAAACAGTGCAAACAAAATATACAGCCAAAATATACAGCCCTTAGAATACATGGAGTTTTTCCCTCATCATAACTGCTGGTGATCTGAGTTTGGCATAAACTACAGACTCCCTTTTTTGTCTCCGCTGAAGGGATTCTTGCAGCTCCATACTATCCTAGGAGGAAATCCACAAGCAAGATGGGCAGCACAGGCAGAGTCTCAATACCCTCCCTCTGGCTGCATCCTGTAATCCCTGGGGTTCTTTTTGGCACTAAGAATTGGGTTAGTCACATGGTGCTCTCAGTTTTGTCTTTGTCAGTGTCTTAAGTGCAGTAACGACCCTGTAAAGTGCCTTAACGACCCTGAGCACCCTCATCTCCAGCCATGCTTTCTACCCATTGCTTTTGGAAATTCAAGCTTGTGCCATGGACTGCAGCCCTGTTCCAAGCTCTTTCTTCTTGACAGACCTTGGACCTGTGCTGTAGGTAGCTTGGGTCCTGGGCAGACCTTGAACCCAGATTGAAGCTCACTGCCAGTCCTGTTCTTACACTGCCAGGCTCTCATGCTACGCATGGGCTGCAATGCATCACATGCTCGTGTTGGCTTCATTTACAACATGGAGCTGTGCTTCATGCTTCCTCACCTACCTTGATTCTGCAATGTTGTGTCATGTTCTGGTGCAAGATTCTCAGAGCAAGGAGCCAGTGGTGACTGAACTACCAGCAGCCACTCCTTTCTTACAGCTCCTCTCATAGTCTCACTAAGCCCATCACCCTGTCTCCCAGCATGCCTCACTCCTTATATCTATGGTTATGTTATCTTGCACCTGCGATCTATCTTTACTGCCATGAGTTTGTACTCTTGTCCTCTTTCAATGAAAAGTGTAAGTGAAGTGCTGAAGGGTAGTAAAAGTACGTTAGGGCAATAAAGCTGAGTGTTGTAAGGAAGAACCAGAGGTATACACCATTACTCATAAGAGTACAGACTTCAATTTAAATGCACAGAGGAGAAAAGGGAGACAATGCAAATATCCACAACACCACTGAGGATAGTAATCAACCAACAAGCATGTCAGAATAACGCATTCCCAATTAATTCCTTCATGTTGTTTCACCAAGCACCAAAACCGTACACAGCTGCATGCTAAAAATGATTAACTATATATAGACAAGCACACTGATCCACCTTTCGATTGCATGTTTGCACTTACCAATTCTTTGCAAAGTTTATATGTATTTCCAGAGTAGTAGGCCAATGAATAAAACTGCAGTAGAAGTCTCACAACATTTGATTAACTTATATAAATATTCTGAGGCTTAGTTATCAGATACTCACTCTTTAATTTTGTTGAAATGTACTCTTCTTTATTCCTTATCAGTACTGCACTCCCAACACATGTCTTGTGAAGTAGTAAATAGAACACAGCTAGCCAAAATAGTAGCTAAGTTATATTATCTTGCTGTATTCATTATGTGTCTTTTCTAGCATTAAAAAGTCTCGTGCTCTTACCTATCAGTAGCCTCTAGACCAGTTGTTAAAGAAAACAATACCAGGAAGAAAGAAAATGTCTCAAGTCACAGGCTGAAGTGGGTGGAGCAATTCTATGCAAATAGGAAAATGATAAAGAAATGCCTCTCACTTGTTGGAAAACGAAACCAAAATAGCTGCAATGTGATAGATAATTAAATTTTTTTTTAAAAAAAATAAATTAAAAAGACAAAACAAACAAGATTTTCTTTCTGTGTGTTGTGTGCTTTTGGCAAGGATCTAGCAGCCAAGGGGACTCAGGTGTGAGCTCATGGTAGCTGATACGGTTCTGTGTTTTGGATTTAGGATGTGAATAATGGTGATATAACACCAGTGTTTTTGTTGCTGCAGAGCAGTGCTTTCATTGGGTCACAGACATTTCAACTTCCCTCACTGTCCTCCAGCAATGAGCTGGGGAAGCACAAAGTGTTGGGAGGTGTACAAAATGGGAGCAATTGACCTAAACTGGCCAAAGGGATATTTCACACCATATAACATCTTGATGATCAAAAACACTGGGGGATGTTGGCTGGGTGGTTGGAGCTGCTCAGAGACTGGCTGGCCTTTGGTCACAAGGTGGTGTGCAATTGCTCTGTGCATCACCTTTTTTGCAGAGGAAAGTTGGTTGGTATTTTGTGTCTTCCCTTCCCTTCCCTTCCCTTCCCTTCCCTTCCCTTCCCTTCCCTTCCCTTCCCTTCCCTTCCCTTCCCTTCCCTTCCCTTCCCTTCCCTTCCCTTCCCTTCC